TGGGGGGGGGCAAGGTCAGTCACCCACAAGCCACCTCCACTGGTGGGAGCCCCCATCCGGCTCCCAGGCCTTCTGGCACAGCCAGGATTTCACCCCTTTCCTGAAGGCCATGAGAGTGGGACCACACTGGACCTCAGGAGGCAGATTGTTCCATAGGGTGGGGGCCATAGCAGAAAAGGCCCTCTGCCTAGACCCCACCAGTCTTTCATGTTGTTTCATCACTTATGTGTTTCTCATTCACAAGATCAAAACAGCAGTGAGTTTACATCTTTACATTGGATATGCTTTTAAAAAAATAATAAGCTGGGAAGAGTAATAATTTGAAGTATTAGTGGGGAAGGCCTATTTTAAAAATTGTGCATTAAACCAATGAAACCAAATCTGTACACATAAAAAGGAACTTGTCTGACAACAAAGGAAGGCAACCTACACAAAGAATCTTAAATAAAATCAGTACAATCTTCTTAGCTAAATTAGGTACTTATTCCCTGCTTAAATAAGTTCTTATGTTTTAGAACATGATCAGAAATCAGATCAGATCAGAGAGTATAGTTGTAAAGATAATATCTAAGCTTCTCCTAGGATATTGTTAGGCAGGCCCTCATCATTGCTGCATTTTAGTGCTGCTTGCAGTTGTATAGAATATAGAGGTTAATGGGAAGCCAATCTCTTTGGAAACACTGGCTGTTGTCTTGCCTAGTCAAACCAAATGTTCCAGCTCTGCTATCATAGGTATAACCAGAAAATCAAAATTATCATGTAGTAAAACCTACCTTCTTAACCACCTATAATGGAACGCTAAACATGCAAACTAGTTTCTGTCTGTTGTGCCATTGTATAAAAAGGATTACACTGAAGAGGCTTTTTTTGAAAACCAAAGTATGAATTTGGATGACTTAATAAGTGATAATGCATCACAACATAATGTAATAGCAAACTAGAATAGCATTGAAAATTCACGACTTATGAATTATGCACCCTTTCTTAGGAAACTACAAAAAGCCATGCAAAGGAATTGTGTGAGTGAGTGAGTGAGTGAGTGTGTGTGTGTGTGTGTGTGTGTGTGTAGGATGTCTACATGTCCCTCCTGGATAGCAATTTTGATGAATGGCAAAAATTGTTGGAGGTGTTGATGATTTGAATGAGCCTTATAATACTAATTGCTGAGCAGTTTACTTAATCAAACTTTTAAATCTGATTTTTAAAGTTTTTGAAGAAGCATAGTTTTTCACCCTTTCTTTCTTCCTCATGCTTGTTCAATCTTTCATTTGATTTTCAGTGAATAAGTTCTTATTTATAATTAATACAGCAAAATTCTATTTTTGGTGGATGCTGAGTAAGAAACAAGCAGATGTTTCTGCTGCCGAATATGGAAGAATTTCTTTTGTGATCTATTGAAAATATGTCTCATCAGAAGTTTAGAGAGCAAGAGCTGTTTCATTTGTTATATTATGGAAAGATTACTCTTAATATCACTGCTGTCTACATATTGCTGTTGCTTTAAACATCAGTGATTGACTATCCTGACTTATACCTACACATCTTTTATATAAAATATAATTAATTTTACTCTGTAAGCATCAAAAGAGGATTATAGTTTTAGTCTGTTTATCTTTGTATATGAATAAACTATATGTATAGCTATAGCAGCTTCATGTCAGTTCAGCTGATTCATAAGGCTAATTGTGGAAAAGGCTATACAGTTATTTTTTTTTCTTGGAACAATTAAAAACTCCCTGTGCCTTGTGTTCAACATGTCTTACTAATACATATTGAAATTCATTGAATATACATTTAATTTATTATAAAAAGTGTTGTTAGTTTTAAGAATGTTAGTGTACGCTACTTTATTTAATGGTCATCTTTCTGTTAACTTTTGTTTATTTGCAAGTTAGTACTTATGTCTCTCATAACCATGGGCACACATGATCCAAAAGTAGCTGTAACATGATTTTGATTGATGGATTATAATTCCATATTCTGATTTAGCTAATACTATAATCTAAGTGTCATTGTCTACTGCTATGAAGATTTTTTCTCTTTTATGAGCAATACTGTATATACAATGCAGGACATGTTTTTGAGCTTATTATTCATTTACTGCATTTTTATCCATTTTTTAAGACAAGTATTGTCTCCCAAAGTGGGTCATATCAATAAAGAAGAGAGTCACAATCTGAAAATATAAAATATATAAGAGAAACTCAGAAATAATACTTCAAGGCCAGAAAGAAGTTGTAAGCAATAGGCTGGCATTTATATGCAATGCACATCTTTTATGTAGAGTATACAGTGGGGCAAAAAAGTATTTAGTCAGCCACCAATTGTGCAAGTTCTCCCACTTAAAAAGATGAGAGAGGCCTGTAATTTTCATCATAGGTATACCTCAACTATGAGAGACAAAATGGGAAAAAAAATCCAGAAAATCACATTGTCTGATTTTTAAAGAATTTATTTGCAAATCATGGTGGAAAATAAGTCATAGGTATACCTCAACTATGAGAGACAAAATGGGAAAAAAAATCCAGAAAATCACATTGTCTGATTTTTAAAGAATTTATTTGCAAATCATGGTGGAAAATAAGTCATAGGTATACCTCAACTATGAGAGACAAAATGGGAAAAAAAATCCAGAAAATCACATTGTCTGATTTTTAAAGAATTTATTTGCAAATCATGGTGGAAAATAAGTCATAGGTATACCTCAACTATGAGAGACAAAATGGGAAAAAAAATCCAGAAAATCACATTGTCTGATTTTTAAAGAATTTATTTGCAAATCATGGTGGAAAATAAGTCATAGGTATACCTCAACTATGAGAGACAAAATGGGAAAAAAAATCCAGAAAATCACATTGTCTGATTTTTAAAGAATTTATTTGCAAATCATGGTGGAAAATAAGTCATAGGTATACCTCAACTATGAGAGACAAAATGGGAAAAAAAATCCAGAAAATCACATTGTCTGATTTTTAAAGAATTTATTTGCAAATCATGGTGGAAAATAAGTCATAGGTATACCTCAACTATGAGAGACAAAATGGGAAAAAAAATCCAGAAAATCACATTGTCTGATTTTTAAAGAATTTATTTGCAAATCATGGTGGAAAATAAGGGTCCCTTTGCAGAAAAACAGTTATTTTCCACCATGATTTGCAAATAAATTCTTTAAAAATCAGACAATGTGATTTTCTGGATTTTTTTTCCCATTTTGTCTCTCATAGTTGAGGTATACCTATGATGAAAATTACAGGCCTCTCTCATCTTTTTAAGTGGGAGAACTTGCACAATTGGTGGCTGACTAAATACTTTTTTGCCCCACTGTACATCATCTTCCTGCAGCAATTGCTTGAAAGCAACTTGTGGCAATTAGAGGTGGTAGTTGTTGTTCGGCCAATGAAAAGGAGGAAAGTTCTAGGATCAGAGTGCTCTTTCTGGTATAGGAGAACAAAGCAGGTTCCCTGTAGACACTCTTTCTGTTTTCCCTTGAAAGCCAGAGTGCTGTTCTTCAGCTCTCTAGTTCTACCAGAGCTGGATGTTCAAGATGATATTGTAGAAAAATTGAAGTACACTTTGTTAGCTTACTCCTTTTCTGCAGGGATTATCTTTGGAGGAGACTTCAACTCATCTCACAAAACCTTCTGTCTCACAATATAGGTCCAAAGAAAAGCCCAGGACATCAGATTTCTGAATCCCAGGAACAGAAGCAGAGACCTTTGAGGAAAGATGGCCAGCAAGGAAGCAAGTCCAGTGACTCTGGAGAAGAACCAGATAAAGATTTCATTTTTGTTTAGTTGATTGGTTATGGGCTTAACAGTGCAGATTATTTTGTGATAATAGGGTCCAACTATTACTGACCCTTTTTTCCCATTAGCTTTTCTTTCCTTTTTTAAAAAAGAAGCTTGTCAAAGGTCAATATTTGCACTGGTAATCAGATTAAAAAAGAATTTGGTTCTTTTTTCTGACTATCTATTTCCAGATATTCCCTCTCAGGCCTTTGCTAAAGCCAGCAACTATTCCATGTCTTCTACTTGAATTTTCTGAAGCAGCTACAAAAATAATGCCTTGCATTAGAGCTTTGTGGTTGAAAAAACTCAAAGCAAATGGATTGGTCATTTTCTTACACTAACCCATTACTGTACAGCAGGAAAAGCGTTGGACTGCTGAATGTAAATTTGTCAAACTTGCACGCAACTTACTTTATAAATATATTCTTGCTGAATGCAATTGCACATTGTAATTATATCAACAGAGCACACTAATAAAAGAATTTGTATAAATAATATATATTAGATGCTTGGATATGATTTTTACATTCTCCTTTGGGAGACTTTTCCCATGTTTGTGTAACTGTCTATTTAAGAACACAATCATTTACATTTTGTGTACTGTTCAAAAGCACAAAAGTAGAAAAACAATTACTAACACTTTGCTATGCTTCCATAACCATAAGTAAATGTATGTTGATTGAAATGAAGGCAATGGATATTTTATCAATATTGGTATTTTGTAAAGGTCACCATAGGATCTGTCTGCGTCCTCTCTACTTTTATCACGTACTTCAAAACAAATAGTAGTTCCTTGTCTGTAAAAGCAATTCTTTACTTTTTTCAATATTTTACATGCATTTGCTTACAATATGGGCAGAAGGAATTTTATTCATAATGTATATTTGTACCAATAAAATGATTTTACAAATGAAGTAGGAATCTCTGTTTTTTAAGATGTATCCTCATTTTGCCATTACATTATAGTAATCAGACCACACTTGCCTGGCCTGGTGTCTGTAGGTGTGTTGGACTTCACCTTCCATAACAGCCAGCAAGGCCTTTAACCAGGGATTATTGGAGTCAAAGTATAATACATCTGGCAGGCACCAGACTGAGGAAGACATATTTTGAATGTTATTCTCCAGAGCTGAAGTCTGTCTTGATCAATTAATTTGTTTAACTAATACGTGCAACTACTGGTGATGGTTCTGTAGTTAGGATGGAGGGAGGGTCCAGTTGAACAGCTTCTGCCTGTCTTCATCCTCATCACTCCCGTCATGTTTATCTCTTTCTGGTTAAATTATGTAATGCAAAGCACAGAAAGGGGGTAAGAAATAGTAAGCCAAAAAAATGAAAAGGATGAGATAAGAAAAAGTGTGGCTAAATGTAGGGTACGTCAATACTATTCATGTAACCTCGCCATACCTTTTTGTCACTGCAAACCATCCTTATTTCCACCATGCTCATACATCACTTCATATATTGCTTTTTTTTCCTTTACATTTCTCACCTTTTTTGAGGATCTCATCAACACTGTGCAATCATGATTTTCTCAGTCTTCTCCTTCCTCTCAATACACTCTTCATGTGATTCAGTCCCCATTCATTCTCTGTATGACAAAACCACTTCCAAGTACTTCTTTCAAACTGGCCACTGATTTTTCTTGAATCCACATTTAATTATCACTTCTTTTTTTTTCACCATATCTTCTTGTTTACCACACACACTTCTTAAGTACTTTATTCTCACTACATTCAGCTTATGGCAAAATGTTGATTTAATGGACCCAGTGGAGAAAAAGATGGGCTATTAAATCCAAATGTTGACTATGTGACCACAAAATCTACTCATACATGAGAAAATCAGCTTGGTAATTGGTTTTCTCATGTGTGGAATGTAGTGAATCAATAAAGGTAGCTTTTTCAAACTTTTGTTTGTCAGACTGATTCCCTGGTCCATGTGTTGGGTTATTGATATTGCATTTGGGGGCAAAAAACATCTACTTTGGTGTCTACCTCAGTGCACAAATTTTTTGCTGATGGATGAGTGGGAGTACTGTCAAGAATTAAAAGAGATTTCATGTTTTCAGGTGACATCTTTACCACATATTGATACCTTCTGAGATCTTGTACAAAATGACTGAAGAACCAATCTTGGAAAAGTTGAGAACGTGGCTTCCATTAATTAGAATATATGATTAGAATTTGATGCATGATGTCTTTTAACACTTGGAAAACTTGACTTTCTGTCTATGATTGGCGTTAATCTGTGTGATCCATTAGCATTGGTATAATGCTAAGACCCTCTTCTTGCTGTTCTTTCATCGTGCAATTGATCTTTCATACTTAAATAGCTGAGTGTTCTTGGGAACTGAAGAAGAAACCGATCTTGTCAGCATTATAAATATGGAAGAGTAGTAGCATTCCTCGTTAATGAGTTTATTTAACTTGTCTGGCTATATCTCTTCCCTTGGTGCACTCAAAGTTTCACTGAATATCAAGCAGTTAATAATTTCATGGCATTATGAAATTGCTATAGCCATTCATCACTGGCATTGAAAGTTATGTTCATGTGCATTGCTATTATACTAGTACTGATCTTAGCTCCAATTCTTATACGCTAACACCACACAAACATTGTTGAACATAACCATTTCATTGCTGTTTCATCAAGAGATGTTTCCTGCTCAATTTTGGTATGTTTTCTTACCCCAACATCTGCTAGCATCCACATCACACAACAATACATACTTCAGCTTACTGTATTTTTATTTTCCAATTTTCTGACCCAGTTTTTTTTATATCACACTCTTTCCAGACAGTACAACTGGCACCTTTTAAATTTCATTTTCCAAATCTTTTTCTTTTTTACTTAAACATATATTTCATTTTCCTCCCACCTTTGTAGTCCTGGTAAAAGAATCACAAACACCATTGCTCTAAGAAATATTTCCATCACCTTAAAAGCTGTTCCAACCATTGTGAAGTACTGTGATTTTTTTTCTTTCTGCCCATCTTTGAAACCAACACTCTCAAGATTGCCCATTCTCCTCCAGGATCACCAAATGTACTCTTTTTTGAACACACCAACATCAAAGGCCAGCATACCAAGATCAACATGGAATGAGATGCACAGAAAAATCATGCTAATCCATGCACAGAAGCAACCATTTTTCAGACTCCTGCTGAAACAATGCACATCCATTTTGGAGGAAGGAAATGAAGCTTGAATTAAAAGATCTCTATTTTATCCTAAATCCGTTGAATAATGGGCCATAAAATCAAGGTTCTACAAATTAACTTCCCTGTAGTTTTTGCATTTCTCTTGCTATTTTTCCCTTTATATCAGAAAACAATAGTATTCTCCCAGGAATTCTAGACCATCAGTCCAAATTATCAAAGTTTGGGGAAAAATAATAAATCCAAATAAAACTCACTTAATTCCACATGTGTCATCTTAACAAAGTATTGCAGATCAAAGGATATAATGTGGTGTGGTAGGGGCAGAGGGAGTGTGGGATTTGATCCAGAAAGGGATTGAAACTTTGATTTAAATCTCAAATATTATGTAGACCATTGATCTGGAATATAAATATTGAAAAGATTTTTTTTCCCCATAGAGTCTGTGGGTGGACCATACAAACTTTAAAATAGTAAGCATTCACCTTCTAATCTTACAATTCTGTGTTTAAAACTTTCTTTATCTGATGCTTCAATAACCACTAGAGATTTTAACTCTTGCACATTTAGAACTATTGCCTACATACAACTTCTCCCTTCCCTAGGAATACTGTAAGCTTTTAAATAAATGACCACAGTTATCCCTTTGAACCAGGATTTCCAGGCCCAAATAGTTTTGGACTGTATATTGCTAGTGCGAACCCAACACTGGAGTATCAAAGAATAAAGGATTTTTATTTAATAAGGGCAACAAAGGGAAGGCAGGAGAAATAAGATGGCTGCATCAAATTGCATGAAGCTGAGATCTCCATACCAAACCTAGCAATCATTAACCTGTAAACACACAGAGAAAGCAAAGTAATTAAGAGTCAGAGAATGAGAGCCAGTATAAAACTATCCAAATTGCACCCAGCAGCCCTGACAAGAAACAAGACTAAATCTGCCTCTATATTCCCTGCCAACCTTTACCTTCTTGGCTCCCAGTCACTCAAGACTTTGGTGCATGGGGCTTGAATTCCAGGCCCAGTGAAGAAAGCTGTTCCTAGAGACCTTGCTTCTCTGAGGACCTCTAGACCAGAACTGCCTGGGAACAAAGAAGCTTCTAACGCTCTCTACATTCCTGCCTCTACTTAGAAGAGGACATTGGTTTTACTTATATTTAAAATCATCAGCTGATCAACACTAGCCTTTGGGAGTCCTATTGATTACTTTTTATTTATTCATTCATTTTAGGCACTGCCTGTCAGGACCAGCCCAAGAACAACAACGAGGCAGTCCAGTCCAGTATAGTTCCTTTATTAGCTTGCACCTAATAGAATCTCACCAGACTAAACCTATGCTAAAGCAACTAGTGGCTATACCTCATGAGACTCTAGGGAGGGGCCAGTCTCAGCTTCTTCACCTTCTCACAGTCCTGCTGCGGGCTGAGGAAGCGCTCAGGAATGCTCCCCTTCCCTCCTGATAATCTTGATCCTCCATTCCAGTATCCCCCTTGCACATGCCTTCCATTACACTACCTGATTCCAAACCAATTCTGCATGGTTCACAATATAGCAAACCAAAATAAAAACACAATACAAAATAAATTGATTGATTGGTTATGTGGCATCAAGACAGTGTCGACTCTTAGTGACCACATAGATCGATTTTCTCCATGATGATCTGTCCCTAACTTGGTCCTTCAGGTCTTCCAACAGTGCACCTATTGCCACTGTAACTGGGTTCATCCACTTTGCTGCTGTCATCCCCTTCTTCTCTTTCCTTCCACCTTTCCCAACATTAGAGCCTTCTCTAGAGTGATGGGTCTTTGCATAATGTGTCTGCAGTAAGATCATTTGAGCCTGGTCATTTATGCCTCAAGTGAGAATTCTGGGTTGATTTTGTTTGATGATCCATTGGATTGTTTTCTTTGTTGTCTGTGGTATTCTCAAGAGTCTTCTCTAACACCAAAATTCAAAAGCATTCTCTTTCTATCCTGCTTCTTCAAGATCCAACTTTATCTTCCATAGAGTATCACAGAGAATACCATGGCTTACACAGTTCTGATCTTTGTAGGTACAGACACATCACAAAATCTGAATATCTTTTCCAAGACCTTCATGGCTGCTCTACAGAATGCTAGTTTGTGGCCTATTTTTTGACTGCTTGTTTTCTGCTTGTTGATGGTTGATCCAAAGGCAGGGATTATCTACCATTTCAATATCTTTATTGTCAGTTCTAAGATTGATTGTTGTATCTATTGTTATTAGTTTGGTCTTCTTTATATTTAATTTTAGTCCCATGTTTTCACTGTGCTCCTTGATTTTTATTACTAGGGCTTGCAAATCCTTTGCATTTCTGATTATCAGATTACTGTCATCAGCATAGCACAGGTTATTGCTGTTTCTTCCTCTAACTTTGAAACCACACTCACCTTCTTCCAATCCAGCTTCTCTTAATGTATATTCAGAATATGTTGAATAAATAAGGGAATTCAGCCTTGTTTCAATCCTTTGCCAACCTGCAGCCAGTCTGTTTTGCCATGTTCTGTCCATACTATGGTTTCCTGACCTGTATATAAGTTTCTCATGAGGACAATGAGATGTTCTGGGATTCCCATTTTTCTGAGCACATTCCACAGCTTGACATGATTGAGACAATTGAAGGCCTTTCTATAATCAATGAAGCACATAGTGACTTCTTTTATGTATTCTTTGGCTTTCTCAATTATCTAGCATGCATCAGCAGTAATGTTTCATGATCCTTGGCCTTTT